TACCGCCCTTGCCGCCATCAAGGCCGCGCACGCTCCGAGAAAGGACGCGCCATACCTCTCAACCAATGATATTGTGGCCAGCGCGTTCTTCAAGATGACGTCGACGGCCCTCGGACTCTTGGCCATCAACCTCCGCGATCGGTTGCGCCTTTCACCGAGCGCGGTGGGCAATTACGTCGGCTGCTTTGTCTACGCCCGAGGCGACTACCTCGACCCAGCAGACGTGCGTGCATCGTACCACGACAAGACGGCGCCGCAAGTGAAAATGTCGTCGGAGCCGTTTCCGACGAGCCTCTTCAGTCCCGGCCACTTTTCAGTGATGACCAATTGGTGTTCGTTCTACCACCACCTCGTGCTGGACGGAAATGCGACGCCGACAGCGCATATGCCGGTCATCGTTCGCGGAGTGCTTCGGTTTGATGCGACAGGGATCTTGTACCACCGATCGCCGAGCGACGTGCGTCTCGTGACGCGCTCAGCGTCGACGCCGGTATCGACGCCGTCGTTCTTGCAGCTCGTGTCGACGTCGTAATCGTCTCATCGGTTGTCGTTCTGCCGAGCGAGACAAATACATAAAAGTAGTTGGTTCCGAAGTTCGTTTCTGACAACCGTTGTCGTCGATCGCTTGAACGAATTCCATCAGACATTACGTCAGCTAGAAGAAAGATTGGTCTCGGATCTTGTCCGGGGACCAAACGGCGACGCGTTTATTGAGGAGGACCTCTCGCCTCGTCGACGAAGTGACGGTAGTCTAGTGTTATGGGACTGGAATCTGCTCGAGGTGTCTTTTGCAGCACACTGCTTACACACTGTTTTTTCCTGTCTCTGGGGGCCAAGAGAATGCATATCCCAAAAGACAGCGCTTGAGACCACATGCATATTGCACTCACGTGAACACGCATGATCCGACGCGATGCGACGACATCAATGGGCCATGGTGGCCATGTGTACGATGCACCCCTACCCCTGGGGCTAGGGGAACCCGCTTCGCATGCGCTGCACCTGTCTAGCACTCCGACGCTTTGTTTCCTGACCTGTGAGGATCACTAAAGGACGCAGGTATCCATTGGTATAGTACTCTAATCGTATCCAGTGAAATAGGAGGAGTCCACTCGAAGGGTTCTCCCAGGTGACGTTTCTAGCGACGCTCGACGACAGTGTCGTCGTCGACATCATACATATCCGCCCAAGCGGCGCGCGTTCTCGGTGTCGTCTCGGCCAGCGCCTTGTAAAAGCGGGTCGTCTCGTGGTCGACGCCAAAGCAGCAACACGCCATCTCGAACGCCGCTGCGTACGCTGCGGTCGCGTCCTCAATCTTGCCCTGGACGACAAGCGCGGCGGCCAAGGCGTCGTAGTGCTCGATCGTCGTCGGATGTGCGTACGGGACGACTGCGTCGACGCACGCCAGTAGCTGCCGACGGACGTTTTCTGCATCGGTGTCGTCGTCGCGCAAGGTGGTCGAGAGCTGCGCGAGTGCGTCGTAGCATACGCGGTGGGTGCTATGCAGCGGCGAGGCCGCCACGATGGCCTCGATTTCGGCCAAGGTCGTCGCGGGCTGCAGCGCCGCCGCCGTCGCATCTTCGTGCACCGTCATGGCGGCCACATCGTCGACCGTCCAGTCGTGGTTGCAGCACGAACACGTTGCCGTCGTCGGTGTCGTAGTCGTCGGGAGCACGACACCGTTGCACGACGGATCTTTGCATCGGTACGCCCGCGCAGCATCCGGCGCAGCGCCAATGCACCAGTCGCAGTTGCAAGCGATCTCATCGGCGACGAGCGCCGCCACCCGGTCGGCATGCGTCCAGTAGTACATGTCGAGCGTGTCGAACGCGAGCGCGTCACCGACGGCGATCGGTGACATCGCTGTGGCGCGGAGCGTCGTACCGTCGGCGGCGACGTGGACGTTGGGCCTGCACGCGTGGTGCAGTCGCGGAATGTACCGAAAGACACCACTGCCGTCGATGCGGTCGAGCGCCTGCGCATGGTTGTGCAGCACGCCGAGGAGATGCGCGAGATCCGAGTCCGAGACGGTAGCCGGAAGGCTCGCAGGTGGGAGGTGCGACCGGAGGGCGACGGCGGTCGCAACGCAGGCCGGCACGCGGTCTGAAAGCACCGAGAGACGCAGCAGATCGGGTAGCAGAGACGCGTCGGACGCGATCGCGTGCAAGACTTTGACGAGGTTCTTGGCAATGTCGAGGCGCCCGAGGACGTTATCGTGCGCGGCGCAAATGGCCATGTACGCGTCAAAGTTCGCTGCGACCGCCATTGCCACGGTTCCGCGCTCGGCCTCGGTGAGCGTCTCGACGTGGCCGTGGTCGTGGTCGTGGTCACAAGGATCGTGATCGTGAGCATGGGCATGGTCGCAGTGGGCATGGGCATCGTGGGCATGGCTGCAATCTTCATGGTCGTGGTGGTGATGGCATGAATCGTGATTATGGTCGTGGTCGTGATCACACGTATGCAGATGGACATGGTCGTGGTCGCATGTGTGGTCGTGGTCGCAGTGGTGGTGGGCGGCACCAAAGCTGGATGCTGCGATGGCCGTCTCGTGGAAGATAACGCTGCTGGGCGCAAAGGCGCTGGTCGCTACGACGCCGTGTGCTGTCGTCGCCACGCGTGCGGATGGAAAGGTGGGCGAAGACGATGGCGTCCGGGCGGCCGTCGAGAGCGCTCGGGTGGGCAGGACGAGGCGTGGCATCCAAGGACGCTCTTGCCGCCAGGCGAGGCTCACAGCGGGCAGCGCATGCAGTGCGCCATTGTCCACCTTCCGCAGGCCGTGTACAGGCTGCAGCTGGCGGGCCAGCCGGCGGCGCGCCGCCACGGACGTCCTCCTTGCAAGCATCGTTGCCAGTTGGGTATTTTGTTCTTGTATCGAATCAAGGTCTTTGTATCGAGGTCTGAGCATGGCTAAACCCACACACATTCTTCAATACAAAGTGCGTGGTGTGTGACGAATGACAACGCGGCGTTGCGTGCGTTTAGACTGTTCTAGTATGGCATGTGGGCCATCGACAAGTCGGCGTGGAGGCTCGTCGATTGGACACGCAGCCATTTGCACTACTTTAGCTCCTATATTGACGCAACACATATTATCCACGCTCTTACGCCGACGGTGCCACCATCAAGGCGCCAAGTGGCTCCAGAAGCGCGGAGGGCAAGAGCGGCGTCGACGCATTGCGCGTCACGACCAAGCGCACGTCAGTGGGCGAGTGATTATACAAAACAGCCGTCGCGTCAAACGGGAGGAGGCCTTGCGTCACGAGTGGCGCGTGCGAGAGCGGGTGCACGCCGTCCTCAAGCACCAGGTGGTGGTAGAACGAGCACCAGTTGGTGATCACCGAGAGTTTCCCGCCAAAAAGGCCGGCCAGCGCACTAGGCACAGGCTCGGCGGTCGAAGCAGTCTTGCGCTGCGGCGCGCGCTTGTCGACGTTGGACGCGCGGATGCTGGCGGGCGATGCGTACTCGCTGGCCGTGTACGTAAAGGCAATGATGTAGTTGCCCGCGTCCTTGGACGAGAGGCCCAGTCGATCCCGGAGGTTGAGGGACATGAGCCCCAGCGACGTCTGGGTCATCGCGAAGAAAGCACTGGTGAGAATGTCGTTGGTCGAGAGGAAGGGCGCGGAAGGCGTCGGGGTGTGCGCTGCCTTGGCGGCTGCGACTGCCTCCACGTTGACGCGGTAGCATGCGACGTGCGGTGGCATCCCGAGCGCCTTGCGGTAGCCGTAGAGTAGCGCATTGATGAGCACACGAAGGCCCATGAACGCAGACCGCGTCGTGAATGGCGCCCAGTGGCGGAAGACCGGCGTCCCATTGTAAAAGGCGCGGGTCGGTGTCAGCGACTGCACCTTTTCGTGCACATCGAGCATCTTGTAGAGCGTGTAGAACGTATCGCCGTCCCCGATCGAGTGGCAGAGTGCGACGGCGACGCCGGTGCTGCCGTTGGCCAAGTGCACAGCGACGACTTGGAAGAGGCGCGCGCTCGGATCGTCGAGGCAGAGCCGGCCAATCATGGTCGGTGCAATGCTTGTCGTGAGCCAATCCATGACGTCGTTCGTCGACGCGTCGGCTGGCAGCGGGCACGTTACCTCGGCGAACGCAGCCTCGACGTTGGTCGGTGACGTGGCGTACTGGAGTTCGACCGTCTTGTCGGCTGCCGAGACCATGCGCCCGAGCAGCCACGGGTTGGCCGCAACGATAGCCGCCGTGCGTGCTGCGAGGGCCGGTACGTCGAGATGCGGAAAGATCGTGATCGTTCGCGTCGGTGGCAGCGCCATCACGTGGAACGAGTTGGCTTCGTGCTCCATGATCGTGACGTAGGCGTCACCAAAGCGTGCGGCTGGCACCCGTTGCCGCAGCGCGTAGCGGACGGCGACGGCGACGGCAGCGATCGCGCCAAGCACTTGGAGCGTCTCGGCAGAATCCATTCTTGACGAGTGGCTGCAATTGTGAGCCGACTGATTCGGCAAGGACTCACATCGTGTCTTTCCGGTGGCATGCACTGGATTGGTACGCTGCAATGATCGGCACACGCGCGGAACGTTCCGACACTCGTCTCGGCGAATTCACGAATGTGGTGATTTCAATCCATAATAATAAGCTTGCCATTTGTATGGATTCTCTTTCGTGGTTGAAAAACAAGCAATTATCCGGTTACAGATACCGGAAAACCATGGAATTCGCGTAAAAAGTACTTTGCCCGCCTGTCCAGTTTGCATTTCTTCTTCATGTGTGATGTTCGATGTGGCAGATCGAGCAAGCTGCCGATGTGCTGTCGCGCAGAAGAAGCTCCTGAAGCCCAGCAGACTCGAACGGCAAAGCAAAGCTAATTGTTGGCACTCGATGAGCAGCGGCATTCACCGCTATCGTGCAAAGGACCAGGTCGTACGAGCGATCGAGTGCCATGGTGCACGAGCTGTTCTCTTGTCGTCACACGAACGCCGCCTCGGAAGGCTAGAACCATGAGGAGGGCGCGCCGTGGTTGTTATGTCAACGCTAAGAGGAGAATGCAATGACATCCATCAATGGTTCGAGGGGAAACGGCTTTGCATGGCACCCAATCCAGCACTCACGGGCCGCTTTACGACTGCATAGATAAAGTCGCAGCAGCGTAGTACTGATGCTCACATGTCCTTGTTGTGTGGTTGGAGTATCACCCCACGCTTCAAGTCATGCTCCGTGCCAAAAGATCGATAGATCGATAGATCGATAGATAGATAGATAGATAGATAGATAGATAGATAGATAGATAGATAGATAGATAGATAGATAGATAGATAGATAGATAGATAGATAGATAGATAGATAGATAGATAGATAGATAGATAGATATGACGTTTCTTCGTGTCAATCAGCACCGCAGTACTGGCTGCAAGCTCAATTTAGAAAGGTTGTCGCACACGTGCACCGAAGTATGAGACAGCATTGTGCGTGGGGACGCCGGGACGAGCGTCAGCGATCGCATCGGGGGCCAGGTTGCTAGTTTTCTGGGGCGGCGAGGTCCGCGAGGTCGTCTGGGGTCGTGAGGCGCGTCTCGAAAGACGGAACGGTGGCGAAATCTGCGTGTTGGCCAACATCATGGAATCCACGCTAGCGCTACGACCGATTTTAAAGAAAAAGCAACAACACGAGCAATCGAGTCAATGTTACTGCCTACTTGTGCACAAACGCCGTGTAGAGGATCGCGACAAGTGCAACAGCGCTCGGGACGAAGATGCCAAGAAGGTACGTGTGCGACGTCCCCTCGGGGCAGCCGCGGCCGCCGGCGAGCGGAAGGCACCGCGTTGACTCGAACATCGAGCTCATCGTCCCCGTGATTGAGCAGCAAAAGATGACGAAAAAAAAAGTAGAAGAGGCACGTGGCGACCACTGGGTGGCGCCCGCCGTGCTTCTTGAGCTCGGCGACCGCCGCTTTCTGGGGCGGAAGGAGGCACACAAGGCTGCAGCCGACAATGCAAAACAAGTACGAAATGAGGTACGTGTACGCGACTTGGACCCGCGTCTCGTCCGCGTCTTGCTTGATAAGTGCGACGTTGTACTTGAACTGGCCGTCGATGATGTTGGTGATCATGGCGCCAAAGGTGCTCGGGAGGTTCGTGACAGTCGTGAGGAGACCGTACATGACGCCTTCGCTGCCGGCCTCGGCGAGCTCGACAATGACGTACGTGCCAATGACAAAGTTGATGCCGATGGGAATGTTCTCCATGATCGGCACGCCGAGGTAGAACCACTGGTTGCGGACGATCGCAAAAATCGTGCAAAATTGCGCGGTCGCATCAATGACGTTGGCCGTGACGACCGTGATGACGAGCACGTAGCGCCAGTTCCAGTGCGTGCCGTAGATACCCGTGAGCATGAGTACAAAGGCAAAGATGATTTGGCCAATGACGCCCATGATCTGATTGTTGAGGTTCTCGACCTTGGCCCAGTGCAAGGACACGTAGTACGTCGCCGTCGACCCAATGTTGCCGGTGAAAAAGCTAAAGAGGAAGTTGAAGCAGAGCACTTGCCACACGGCGCGGAGCTGGACGAGGTGCCAAAACTTGGCAAAGTAAATGCCCACGGGCACCCGCTCGCGCTTCGTGTCCTTGACAAAGAACCAAATCACCGGCACGTTGATGATCGATGGCACCGCGAGGATCCAAAAGTACCCGTTGATACCAATGTCCCAGTCAAAGTCGCCCGAGAACGGCTTCGAGTTGAGGCAGAGACCGCAAATGAGATAGATGATGGCCATGAAGAACGAGCGAGTCGAGTAGATGAGCGACTGGAGACGGCCACGCACCGCGAGCGGCTCGCGCTGCGCGTACGTCAACATGAGACCGTCCTGCGCGACGTCGGCCATGACGTAGCAAAAGCCCACAATCGTGCAGAGTAGCGCGAGCTGCGACCCATCGGCGTTGGAGCCCGGCTCGCCCGCCGGCTTGCACGCAATGTAGACAAGAATCGCAGCACACAACGTCCAGCCAATGAACATGTACGGCTTGCGCGAGTAGCCAAAGATCGGGAAGCAGTCGTTGAACATGCCAAAGAAGACTTTGATGGTCCAGCCGAGCGTCATGAGCGCCGAGGCGGAGCTCAAGACGTTGGTTTCGAGTTGAAAGTAGGAGGCGAGGATCGGAAACTTCATGGCAGGAACGCCACCGTAGACGATACCGATCATCGCGTACTGGTAGAGAATGGCGAGGATCTCGGGCGACGTGTACACCGGGGCATCGCCTTCGCGGAGCGCGCCATTTTCGAGGTCTTCGGGGGTTTTGGTCGCGTCGTAGTCGCCGTCAACGGCCTTGGCGTCTTTGTCTTTGTCGATCGAGTGGACGTACGAGACGCGCTCCATGAGCGCGTTGCTGTTGCGTGCAAGCATGCTGCGGAAGGCAAAATACAGAATGACAGCAACGACGAGCTTGGACGACAAGGTTCGGCACTCAAAGTATGGGTGGAAATCGGTACCTAGTTCATTTGCTAAAACTCCGGTATGCTTTACTAATATGAAACGCACGGTATGTCGCGTGTGCGATAGTGACGTTATTAGGTCGCCAAAGACACGAGGCATACCAAGTCCCATACAAGCTGTTTTACGGCACAAGCAAAGGCATTCCCGTCGTCGTTCCTGGCTCTGTGCGACAATGGCTAGAGTTGCCGATGTGCATCATAGCGCACCCATGACTGTGTCCGTCCTACCGAGACGTCCTGTCCACGCATATCAAGAGACGCGCCCCGAGTCTGTCCTACCTTGCCATGTCGTGGGAATTTGCAGTGAAAGTTGGGCTCTTTATTAATGCAAATGGTATCTGCCAGATACAATACTAGTACTGTACATGCTGGACCATAGCTTTGCCGACGATTTGTGTGAGGTTGCGAGGCTTGTCGTTGGCGCGGGAGATCGTTGCAGTTATAAAAATACGTCGAATTGTCCGCGGGAACTACGGAAAGGGCACCGGTAGCGTCTAGGAACCTGCGATAAAAGGTGCTCTCATCGCCGCACCTGCCCCGTAGATACTCCATTCTACACCGTAGATGCGAGCAAACCAAACCTGCGAGAGTCATTCTCAGATCCAAGGATGTGGGAACGTTCGTTCTCGAGCACTGCGTTGAGCACCCTGTCGCAGACGAGCCACGGAAACACATCCGTGGAAGCTTAAAGCCACAACGCGGTCGTACATCGTTGCTTTTGGAAATACCTGCGATGAACGGCACGTGTGCGGCGGCTTTGTTCCAAACGAGTCCTTTACCAGCCATCTCGTTAACTTCTCACCGTGGGTGCGTTCTGCAGTCACAGGATTTGCGAGCACGACTAGGAAGTACCATCTGCTGCGTCTTCGCAGCCCAGAAGGCCTGCACGTTGAAGAGCGCTTGGTTGCCGCCACACTTTTAGTCGTCGGTGGAGCTTTACCAACAGACCGGTAGTCAGCCAAAGATTTCAATATCAGCCCGTGTACCAACCCACTGTAGCAATCCAGCTTGGACGAGTACGCTACACCAAGACACTTTCAAAACGCATAACCAGTGCTCACACATCGACCGGCTCCTCCGACAAGGGCTAGGGTAGGGTAAGGTTTGATGTGTCAAGAGCTCGAGTGTCGCGGCGACAAACCTTTGCAGCCACGCGATCTTGCTTTCGACTTTGGGTGCAACATTGTCTTCAACGCAGTCGATGACGATAATATGAAAATGCAGTGCACCCCCGCCGTGTACCGTGGCAACGTGGAACATGCATTTCCATCGCTCACATCGTCGCCGACGCCACAACGTTGATCAAAACGGCACACACCACATTTTAGGATAGATATATGTTGGCTCAAGTCCACTATCTACTTGTGGAGAAATACCTTGTAGAGAATCGCAAGGAGCGCGACGCCGCTCGGTACAAAGATGCCGAGGAGATAGTTCTTGGAGTTTTCCGGCGGGCAACCCGTACCACCGGCGAGGCGCGCGCAGCTCGTTTCGTCGTACATGGACATGAGTGTGCCCGTGATCGAGCAGCAAAATACGACAAAGAAGAAGTAAAAGAGGCAGCCGGCAACGATGGGCTGGCGGCCGCCGTTTTTCTTGAGCTCGGCGACAGCGGCCTTTTGCGGCGGAAGCAAGACGACCCAGCAGCAGCCAACGACAGCAAAGCAATACGAGATGATGTACGAGTACGCGACTTGGTTGCGCGTCTCGTCCGAGTCAGCCTTGATGAGCTTCTTGTTGTAGTCGAGAGAGCCGTCAATCAAGTTGGTGATCATCGTGCCAAACGTGCCTGGGAGGTTCGTGACAGTCGTCAAGAGGCCGTACATGACGCCTTCGTTGCCGACCTCGGCGAGCTCGACAATGACGTACGTGCCAATGACAAAGTTGATGCCAATGGGAATGTTCTCCATGATCGGCACACCGAGGTAGAACCACTGGTTGCGGACGATATCGTAGACGGTCAAAAACTGGCAAACCGAGTCGATGATGTTGGCCGTGAGGATCGTGATGACGAGCACATAGCGCCAGTTCCAGTGCGTGCCGTACGTGCCCGTGAGCACCAAGACGACCGCGAAGATGAGTTGACCGACGACGCCCATGATCTGGTTGTTGAGGTTCTCGACCTTGGCCCAGTTGAGCGACACGTAGTACGTCGCCGTCGACGTAATGTTGCCCGTGAAGAGCGAGAAGAGAAAGTTGAAGCAGAGCACTTGCCACACGGCGCGGTGCTGGACGAGCTCCCAAAAGTTGGCAAAGTAAATACCCACGGGGACACGCTCGCGCTTGGCGTCCTTGACAAAGAACCAAATCACCGGCACGTTGATGATGGACGGGACGGCCAAAATCCAAAAGTACCCGTTGATACCAATGTCCCAGTCAAAATCGCCAGAAAACTCCTTCGAGTTGAGGCAGAGACCACAAATGAGATAGATGATGGCCATGAAGACCGAGCGTGTGGCGTAGATCATCGACTGCAAGCGGCCGCGGATCGCGATCGGCTCGCGCTGCGCGTACGTCAACATGAGACCGTCCTGCGCGACGTCGGCCATGACGTAGCAAAAGCCCACAATCGTGCAGAGAAGCGCGAGCTGCGAGCCATCCGAGCTCGAACCCGGGTCACCCGCCGGCTTACACGCAATGTAGACTAGAATCGCCGCACACAGCGTCCAGCCAATGAACATGTACGGCTTGCGCGAGTAGCCGAAGATCGGGAAGCAGTCGTTGAACATGCCAAAGAAGACCTTGATGGTCCAGCCGAGCGTCATGAGTGCCGAGGCGGAGCTCAAGACGTTGGTTTCGAGCTGAAAGTAGGAGGCGAGGATCGGAAACTTCATGGCAGGAACGCCACCGTAGACGATACCGATCATCGCGTACTGGTAGAGGATGGCGAGGATCTCGGGTGATGTGTACACCGGGGCATCGCCTTCGCGGAGCGCGCCGGTCTCGAGGTCGCCAGGCGTCTTCATGTCGTCATAGTCGCCAGCGTTCTTAGTATCCTTGTCGACCGAGTGGACGTACGAGACGCGCTCCATGAGCGCATTGCTGGTGCGGTCCATGGTCAGAGGTAGCAAATTGCAGAATGAAGACTTGGATGTCTACTCACGTGCGGGGCTGATACAGGCCGCGAGGGCTGCGTGCACCATCCGTGGTACCGACGCCGTCCATTTTGGTAATCAGATTGGCGTGGACAGGCCGCCGCCTACCACATGTCAGGGCCCATTTCCAGCTCACGCGTTTCGAGTTTGCGCGTTTGAAACGCGGTGAGTGGCGTGGAAAAGGTAATATAAGATTGAGTATGTGGTGTGCGCCGCACTTGAGGCGCGTGCACTTGAGCGCGGATTTAGAAAGGGCCAGAGTAGCATATTTATTTATGACCTTCAACGATGCCGACGGGTGCTTCAATAATGTGGGTGGCGTTGAAAACGAATCGCTGACGTCGACGACGAGGCTCTGTGTTCTATTAGTGTAATTGTAGATATGCTGCACCGTTATCGCGTACCACTTGCATATATGTAGTTGTAGCGAGGTGTGGTGCCAGCGTCCATGATGCGCGGATATAGATTCGCACGGACGACTACCAGCGTACAGCGCTCGCACCATGGGAAAAAAGCGCGCAACCTCGGAAATACTTTGAAAGCGCGACGTCACCAAGTCGCGTAGCGTTCTTTAAGGAAGGATGTGGCAAGATTACCTGGACCACCCAATTTCACGAACTCGTTTTCTCACGGTCTACATCCTGCGCACCCCATTGGCCAGCCACCGGGTGCCCTTTTATCACCAGCTGTGGGTGTGAGAAAAATGTGCTTTTTCCTCGTTGATGCTTTTCATTGCTTTACACTGCACTTAATCAAACACCATTGGGGCAGCACTGGCGGCCCATCGCGTCGCCAACGCCTCAAAGATAATCAAGCACTTGCCAACCAAAAAACATGCTTGACGGCACGAGGCACAACGCAAATGCAAACTGAGAAAGTCCGCCGCGTGGTATTAATAATGACACTCGTGTTCGTTTTGGCCTATTACCGGTATGCAGGCGTCGGGTGTCTAATATCCTGAGTGATCCCCGGACCCTTGGTAGCATTTCAGTCATGGCTCGCGGCAACCCCGTGCAGATGTGTTTGTGTTTGCATGTTCTCTCTGGTAGATCGAACGTTTAGGCGATCGAATCCACGACGGCGTGTGCAATATTGTCAATGCCACTCGTCCGAAAGGCGTGAGAAAGTGGATTAGAGTAGTTTTCAAGAGGGAAATTGATTGTTACGATACACACTACACCATCAAGGCAGGTCGATTGCCTCGTCATCTACGCTCGTCTACTTGTGGAGAAACACCTTGTAGAGAATCGCGAGGAGCGCGACGCCACTCGGCACAAAGATGCCGAGGAGATAGTTCTTGGAGTTTTCCGGCGGGCAACCCGTACCACCGGCGAGGCGCGCGCAGCTTGTCTCGTCGTACATGGGCATGAGTGTGCCCGTGATCGAGCAACAGAGAATCACAAAGAGCGCATAGAAAATAACGCCAGCAACGATGGGCTGGCGGCCGCCGTTCTTCTTGAGCTCGGCGACAGCGGCCTTTTGCGGTGGAAGCAAGACAACCCAGCAGCAGCCAACGACGGCAAAGCAATACGAGATAATGTACGAGTACGCGACTTGGTTGCGCGTCTCGTCCGAGTCAGCCTTGATGAGCTTCTTGTTGTAGTCGAGAGAGCCGTCAATCAAGTTGGTGATCATCGTGCCAAATGTACCCGGGAGGTTGGTGACGGTCGTCAAGAGACCGTACATGACACCTTCGCTGCCGGCCTCGGCGAGCTCGACAATGACGTACGTGCCAATGACAAAGTTGATGCCGACGGGATGTTCTCCATGAGCGGCACACCAAGATAGAACCACTGGTTGCGCACCACGTCGTAGA